GCCAGTGATGGCGTCGTCCGCCCCGACGGAGACGACGACCACGGCACGACACACCCCAGAGCGACGCCTGCGGCCCCAAGTCAGCCTCGCGTCACGATTTCGGCACCAACCCACGATTCGGGACTGCCGTCACCGATGCCGCTGAAACCGCAGCGCCCGCCATGCTTTGACCCGAGTCAACGGGGTGGTCCTACCGTTCAGGCGTGGTTATTCACAATGAATGTTTTCTTCGACGCCAACTACGTCTCGGAGGACTCGGCGAAGATTCGATACGCCGTGTCGTTGCTGCGAGGACCCGCCATGGACTGGTGGCGCGTCATCGTCACGAAGCCGACCGACTACGCGACACTACCGACACGGGAAGGACAAACCGGACCCTGGGCGCCGTCGTATTTCGTGGAGGTGCCCCAGTATCGCACGTGGGACGCGTGGTGCGCAGGTCTGCGCGCTCGATTTGAGCCAATCGCGGCCTCGATCTCGGCGCGACAGAAGCTCCGCACTTGGCGCCAACTCGGTTCCGTCCAGGATTACACGAGCGGATTTCTGGCGCTATGCGAGCAGGTGGGCTACATGCATGAGAGCGAACGCATCGACCGCTACATCGGCGGCCTGAAGCAGGACATCGCTCAGGAAATCCAGCTTCGCGGCGTCACTGAGTTTCAGGAAATTCTCGCTATGGCGGAGAAGCTCGACTTCTTTCGCCGACCGAGACCGGGGTCCTACGGAAACAACACCTGGGGACATCGGCCTCGTGGGACGAACGAGAGCGCCACGATACGCGCCATCGCCGCAAATGCCGCTGCCGCACCGTTCAAAGGGCGCTGCTTTGCGTGCAATCGGCCGGGACATCGCAAGAGCGAATGCCCGGAAAACGCTAAGGGAAAGGGGGAAGCTGAGCAGCAGACACAGACCAAGCAGCAGGGAAACGCTGGAAGTCAGTAGCAGACGGGCCCTCTACTGACAGGTCACGCCGCTCGCCCGACCCAACCGACCCTCACCGAGTGATTGTGCCGGTTCACGCAATCGACCACACCCGGCCGAATAAGGAGGGTACCACGGTAGATAGCCCTATACTGCTCAGTGGGAAAATTGGGACGGACTTAGTTAAAATCTTCGTAGATGGGGGAGCCAGCCACAGCCTCATTAACACTGCTACAGCACGAAAACTGCGACTGCCACTGGACCGATGCTTACCTGAGATCGACGCACGACTGGTAGACGGCACGCCGCTGGCAATACGGGAACGCGTAGACCGAGTTCGGATTCGATGCGGGGGTAACTTCACGTTTAGTCAGGAAATGCTCGCAACGACCCTCGACGGAACCGACATTTTACTCGGGCGTGATTGGCTGCGACGACACAACCCGCGAATTGACTGGACGACGGGTGACTGCACCGTGCGAGTGAACGGTAACAGCATCGCCTTACCTCGCTGGGGCTCGCCTGAGTCTTCGTCGGTGCGTGTCAACGCGATCACGATGAAACGCGCTGTTGCGGCCGGAGCCGACGTGTACGCGGTTGACATTCGGGAAGCCGAGGCAGCAGACAAGGGAGGCGATTTACAGAAACTGCTGACCGACGTACCGAGTGACCTGGCGGCACTGTTACAACAGTACAGTGACATTTTCCCGGATGACCTGCCGACGGGACTGCCACCTCAGCGACCGCACGATCACAGGATAGAACTGGAACCGGGGGCACAGCCAACAGTACAGCGACAGTTCCGACTGACCCAACCCGAACTAGACGAACTAAGGAAGCAGCTCGATTACCTGCTAGAAAAGGAATTCATTCGCCCTAGTTCGTCGCCTTTCGCCGCACCAATACTGTTCACACCGAAAAAGGACGGGGGTTTTCGCATGTGCATCGACTACAGGGCACTGAACAGGGTTACCATCAAATCCCGTTACCCCATCCCACGAGCCGACGAACTGATCGACCAACTGCGCACAGCCCGGGTTTTCTCGAAAATCGACCTCCGAGGAGGCTACCACCAAATCCGCGTCAACCCACCCGACTGCCCTAAAACCGCATTCCGAACACGCTACGGATCCTTCGAATACACCGTCATGCCATTCGGACTGACCAACGCCCCCGCCACTTTCCAAATGACCATGAACGAAGCATTCCGCCCGCTTTTAGATAAGTGCGTCATCGTTTATCTGGACGACATACTGATTTACAGCCCTGACAGAGCACAGCACTTACAAGACATCGAAGCAGTTTTTAAAATCCTGAGTGAGAACCGCCTACTGACCAAAGCATCTAAGTGTGAGTTTTTACAGGACCGCCTGGAGTTTTTGGGACATGTTATTTCAGCTGCAGGAGTGGAAATAGACCCAAAGAAAATTGCGACGATTCAGGCTTGGCACGCGCCGACCAACTTGACCGAGTTGCAGAGTTTCCTGGGGTTCGTCAACTACGTGCGCCGGTTCGTCCCCGACATGGCGAAACTGACTGCCCCGTTGACTGACCTGCTGAGGAAGGGGGTTGAGTACACGTGGGGGGAGAAAGAGCAAGCTGCCTTCTCGGCCCTCAAAAATATTTTGTGCTCCCCGCCCGTCCTTCACATTGCAGATCCCCACCGTCCGTTCGAGCTCGTCACCGACGCAAGTGACATCGCTGTGGGAGCAGTACTGTTGCAGGATTTCGGGAATGGCCTCCAGCCAATCGCGTACGAGTCCCGCAAGTTACACCCGCCCGAACGTAACTACCCGATACACGACCGCGAGATGCTAGCGATCGTGCACGCGTTCAAAGTTTGGCGATGTTACCTGACTGGTGCCGACGTGACAGTACGGACAGACCACCGCTCGCTACAGTACCTTCGCGCCCAACCGAATCTCAACCCACGACAGATTCGCTGGTTGGACTATCTCGAGTCCAATTTTCACTACACCGTCACGTACAAAAAAGGAGCATCCAACATCGCCGACGCTCTCACCCGCCCCACCGCCCAACTCCACGCCATCCTACTCGCCCAGACCAACCCGCTTTTAACTGGCCTATTCACCCACGGATACCGCACCGACCCATTTTTCACGACCGGAAATTCACAGCAACTGGCAGAAGCAAAAGGAGTTTATTACGTAAAAACAGGCACCAACCGCATTTGGGTACCCGCGTACTCACTACTGAGGGAGCTGCTGCTGCAGGAGGCACACGACGGGATTACCTCGGGACATTTCGGGGTAGAAAAAACACGACAGCAACTGCAGCGGTACTATTACTGGCCGGAGCTGTTGACCGACGTACAGCAGCACGTGGGCTCGTGCCCGACGTGTCAGGTGATGAAGAGTTCAAGGAAGCGGAAGGCGGGTCAATTGCAGCCGATCCCACCGCCCGAACGCGCCTGGCAGCAAGTAACCATGGACTTCGTCACAGGGTTACCTTCGAACCCTGGGGGTAACGACGCGGTGATGGTCGTCGTGGATAGGTTGACGAAGATGGCACACTTCGCTGCGTGCAAAAAGTCGATCTCAGCCGAAGAGACCGCTCGCCTGTTCATCGCAGCTGTTGTTCGCCTGCACGGGATACCAGCAGCAATTATCAGCGACAGGGACACGAAGTTTACCAGCAACTTCTGGAAGAACCTCTGGGAGCAGTTCGGGACCAGGCTACAGTTCAGTTCGTCGTACCACCCCGAGACCGACGGCCAAACGGAGCGGACGAATCAGACGATGGAGCAGTTGATTCGTGCCACGTGCGACGACCCCACGACCTGGGAGCAGCAGCTGCCGCTGATCGAGTTCGCGTACAACAACGCCACATCAGCCACGACGCAGCAGTCCCCGTTCTACCTGAACTATGGGCAGAACCCCACAGTGCCCATGACGCCGAGTCCGGACAACCCAACGCCACGCGCACAACAATTCGCCGAAATCCTGCAAGCTGCCCGCGCCAGAGCCGCCGAAGCAATAAAAAAGGCCAACGTCATCGCTAAGCGCAACGCTGATCGCCACCGCCGCCCCGTCACGTATCAATCTGGCGATTACGTGCTACTCGACACGCAAAATCTGCGACTGCCCGACGTACCAAAATTACGACCGCGCTACTGTGGACCATTCCAAATCAGCCACATGATCACACCCGTCACCGCGCACCTACTGTTGCCAATTGACTGGTACATCAGCCCTTCGTTCCACGTCAGCCTACTTCGCCCATACATCCCGACCACGAGTCAACTGCCGCGTCACCGGCCACAATCAATGACTCGCCCTGCATCAGAGCCGATCATCGAGCCCGAAAAATTTTTGAGCCATCGGATCCGCCACCCCACGGGAATCAGGAGGATTGAATTCCTCGTTCGCTGGAAAGACCGCACGCCAACTGAAGATAGCTGGGTGCCCCTGAGCAACATCGAAAATCACCCTGCCCTGCAAGTGTACTTGAGAAGCCGGGGATTCCGCGATATACACGCACTCGCGTAGCGGAGGGGGCTTCTTAAGGGGGGGGGGTAGTGTAAGGAATTTTCTCAGGCATTCCTTACGGAGCCGACTACATCGCGTACAGCAACAGCCGACTGTTCGCCCGTTACTGCTAACGGAACTTCGCCGACTTCGCGCGCACTGTTTTGCCAAACCTCGCACTGCTGGCATGGCCGTATCGGCCTACGCTTCGGGACTAGCCCGAGCCTCGCTCCAGCGTAGCACTAGCAAGTTCGCACGCACCGCGTTACCGTTTTGCATGTTTCGCGTATAAATGCTCGCTCATGCCTTCGCTCACATTTTGTACTCGTTTGACACCTTAGTGCAATTCTCGCTACCTCGATTCATTGCACCCGTAACAGCATGCAACTCCCAAGGAGGTCGCGGCAAATTTGTCAAATCCTCAGAGCACTCACATTCAGGCATTGTTCCTTGCCGTTCAGCCTCTGAAAACTGAGCCTGAATAAACTGTTCTATATGTCACTGATAGACAGTAACGAGGCATTGCTTCTTTAGTAGTAACGTTGGCAATCCGTTGCTTTCGTTCTCTGGATCTTAGTCTCTCATTCAAATATGTCGGTTCCACGCACGATTACTGCGCGTCTCACTGATACTGACCAAGATGCTGACCTGGAACAGCTGCGAGAGTTTATCGACACGTGTCCGCTTCTCGACCACCACTGCCACTGCCTGATGGAGCTAGAGCCTCCCGTTACAGTCACATCTCTCAACAACGCACTGCTAGGAACACTCACGGAAGCGCAGGGTAAAGCGCGAGAACAAGCAGTACACTCCATCGCCGTTAAGGTACCATGCTCAATATAGGCTACTGACGGTTTCCTGCATTCGCGTTTGACTTCTCGTTCTCACGTCCTCTTTCCCTCATTGGTCGTTCTTCCCTCATATTCACAAATAGGATCAAACCAGTGTGTCCAGCACCCCAGACGCCTCAAAGTCGGCTTTAAGACGGCTTCCTTCCTTCCTCTCCCCCACTGTCCACCACCATCCTTCCGACCTTTACCACTCGACCCTCCTCCTTTGCTGTCCATCCCTCCCCCCTTCTCTCCCCCCCCCTCCCCTCCCCCCTCCTCCCGCTTCCCCTCCCGCCCCTCTGTTCCAGCGCAGTATTCGTGAGCTGGCATCTGCCCTATCAGCGGACGCCACGTCACTGGAGGGAGTCGCCGCTGCTCGGCTGCGATTGGGCGAGGAAGCAGCCAATCAGAAGCTGTTTGGTGCTACGCGGATATCTGCCCTGCTTATAGACGATGGGCTTAGAGGCGGGGTGGCTCATAACGGGGATGTGAACTGGGGGGTGGGAGGAGGAGAAAGCGGATCGTTTGAACCAGGAGCAGCAACAGAAACAGCAGAAGTTGTGGCATCAGCAGTAGCGCAAGAGGGAGGGCAGCAGGCAGTTTCCAAGTCAACCCGCAGGCCACCGGAAGTAGAGCAGCAGAGGGAGGCGAAACGGCCAGGAGAAGAGCAAGGAGGAAATCGGAGGGGAGAGCAGGGAGGAGAAGGGGGAGGAGAGCGGGGAGAGGAGCAGAAGCAGGAGCAGGGAGAGGGGCAAAGATGGAGGTGGAGGGGCGTGGCATGGCACGAGTCGCTGGTGCCGGTGGTGCGGCGAGTGCTCAGGCTGGAGACTGTAGCGGAAGATATTCTGCTGGGACCTGCGCCAGGTGGCACGTGGACATTGGGCAGCTTCTCCAAGCAGTTCCACGATTCCATTGATCCATATCCTTCAATTTGACACCTTCGAAGCCGTGTGTGTTTTTGTCGTAAATGTTCTTAGCAATGCTGGCGGACGGGAGGCCTACCTTGTCCATGTCCGAATCCTGGCCCCCCCATCCTGGCCCCCCCATCCTGGCCCCCCCATCCTGGCCCCCCCATCCTGCCCCCCCCATCCTGCCCCCCCCATCCTGGCCCCCCCATCCTGCCCCCCCCATCCTGGCCCCCCCATCCTGGCCCTCCCATCCTGCCCCCCCCATCCTGGCCCCCCCATCCTGGCCCCCCCATCCTGCCCCCCCATCCTGGCCCCCCCATCCTGGCCCCCCCATCCTGGCCCCCCCATCCTGCCCCCCCATCCTGCCCCCCATCCACAAGGTAGGCGGCCTGGCCTTGCTTGTGGAGGGGAGTTGAATTGTCTGGAATTGTGTGGAAAATGGGATGCGATACCTTTCATCCATCCATTCACTGTCCTCTGGTTCACCCTTGTGGGAAAATAACGTTTGCAATCTTGTCTCTCAATCCACATCCCCAATCCGCTGAGAGAGACAAGATATGGTTCATGTTGTCGCAATACACATTTGGCCACCATTCGTTCTCCTTGACTTGTCGTGACTCCTCTTCACCTTCCTTCATTCTTCTTGACCCATCCTGAACCATCTTGACCCTTGTTGACCTGTAATCACCGCACACCACCGCCCGGAGTGGTGGCGTTCAAGAGCATTGCAGCGTACCGCTGTGGTCTCTCCATCGATCCTTTTGTAACGCCTTCTGAAGTGGAAATCGGCATTCAAGCCACTCTGGGTGAGTGTGTGTGTTCGACCTTTTCCTTGCTCCCTCTCTTCCTCCCGCCCCCCCCTGTATCCTGTCCACTCTCATCAACCTGTTACTGGCGCTTGCTCAAGTGGACCTCGGCCCTGCCAAACTCCTCCTAAGCCTTCCACTGATAGACCACTCCGTTGATACTTCCTTCTTCAGCAAAGCCTCCACTGAAGCCTTTTTTCTCTGTCCCTGCTTAAGTTGCAGTCCGCCTCTCTACTCTCTCAAACGGCTCTCTGTTCTGGTCGGTGCCTATGTGTGCAGCCACCCACTAGTTTGTTAATGCCCATGTGTAGGGAATTTTTGAGAATTCTCAAAAACACAGTGGATGCCGCACAGACTGAACCTGGTGATCCAAACTTCATATAATGTGCATCATGGTATGAATCTGGTGAAGATTAGTGCACTCAATCCCTCTGTATGATCGTTGACCATCTTTGTTACTCCCAATCCAAACCCTCAGCTTCGGTAATCCAAACCTCTCCGCCGAGCCTGCGCCTGTGTGATCCCCGAGTGATTAGCTTCTGCATCGCTACAGCCCTGGCAGTGGCGGCCAAGCATCAGCTGCCGTTGCAGATACACTGTGGGTGAGTGATGGGTTTATGTTTGCTTTGGTTGATAAGCCTTTGTGAATGTGAATGGTGGATGCTTGCTGATTAGCCGCTGAGTCGTTACGGCCCGTGCTGTGGCAGTCAAACATTAGTTGCCGCTGGAGATACATTGTGGGGTGAGTGATGAGTCTAGGTATGGTTTGGTTAATCGGCCTATGTAATTGTGAAAGGTGGATGGTTGATGATCAGCCTCTGCATTGCTACAGCCCTTGCAGTGGCAGCCAAGCACCACCTGCCGCTGCAGATACACTGTGGGTGAGTGATGGGTTTATCATGAATGGTTGATGAGACACTGCGGTTGTTAAATGGTGGATGCTTGGTGATCGGCCCTTGCAGCGGCAGCCAAGCATTTGCTGCCGCTGCAAATACCATGTTGTGGCATGGTGATGGGTATGTGATGAGGTGTGGCATGGTGACCATACTGTGCTTGATCAGCCTGTGTGAATGTGAATGGTGGATTTTGATGATCAGCTCCTCCATTGCAACGGCCCTTGCTGACTGGCAGCCACGGATTAGCTGCCTCGAGCAGCCAAGCAACAGCAGCCCCAAACTGCCAAACTTAAAGTTGAGTCTTGTGGCAGGCAGGGGGGTTCTCCTTAAGCACCTTTTGCAAAAACACTACAACAACATGTTGGAATATGCAAAACAGCTTCACGAACGTGAGCCTCTCTTATCGTGCTTCTTCAACTCGCATCTCTTTCACAACTGCACCATCAACACATTAAAACGTCCTCGGCTCTTTCACCCAGGGAGAAAAAAAAAAAACAAAACAAAAAAAAAGGGGGGGGGGGGTAAATTTTGCATCTTTTTTCATTGCCTGAAATTCCGTAGTAAGTGCCTCCCCTTCTTTCTCCTTCCCTGTCCAGTTTTGGCGACAGGGATTTGGATCTGGCAGCAGCCAACCCTCTGTGCCTGCGCTCCCTGCTGGAGTATAACGAGGGGCTCGTGGAGGTGCCAGTGGGGGAGGTGCCAGAGGGGGAGGCGCATGCGGGGGCACGTGGGAAGGCGCGTGGGTTGGGGTGCAGCCATGCAAGCTATGCGGCGCCGATTGTTCTCCTGCACTCGTGCTATCCGTTTATGAGGGAAGCTTCGTACCTTGCTTCTGTGTACACCATGGTACGGCATCACTTGCATGTGTGTGTGTGTGTGTGTGTGTGTGTCTGTGTGTGTGTGAGTGTGTGGGTGACTGAGTGTGAGTGTGTGGATGCATGTTCTCCAAAAAATTTCATAGCTCGTGCCGTTGGTGCGGAGTCAGCCTCAGAAAACCAACCACAGGGATGGTAATTGGCGGTTGGGAGGAATCATTCTATCGTCTATTGTATTAATCCTTCTTATAATTAAACTATTTGCAGAGAACTTAGCATCAGTGCGGCACATGTCGTCCGTCCATCCATCTTTCGCAGTTGTATGTGGATTGTGTGGTCTGGTGTCCAGCAAGTGCCATACCACATGCACCACACCTGCAAGTGTGACTTAACATCCTTGTTCCACATCTTCCATCCATCTTTGTTCCGCAGGTGTATGTGGAATGAGGGCTGGTTTTCAGCAAGTGTAATGCCACATGCACCATGCCTACAAGTGTCATCCCTGTTCCACGTCTTCCATCCGTCGCTCTCAGGTGTACGTCGACTGTGGGCTGGTATTCAGCAAGCTCTCCCTCTCAGGCATGAAGGCCGCCCTCCTTGACTTGCTTGACCTCGCCCCTCTCACCAAGGTTCGTGCTCGTTGACTAGTCCTGTCTCACACCCCTGACTTGCGTTGACCTTGCTTGACCTCGCCCCTCTCAACAAGGTCTGTGCTCGTTGTCCTGTCTCGCTCACACTCACCCTTGACTTGCGTTGACCTCCTTGACCTCGCCCCTCCCAACAAGGTCCGTGCTCGTGGACTTGTCTCACTCACGCACGCTTGACTTGCATTGACTTTGCTTGACTTCTCTCCCTTCTGTTATGCTTGTGACTCTCATGTTGACTGCTTAATCTCGCCTGCTTAAAAAGACCCGCTGCTCTGCTATCGTGCGTAAGGATGTAATAGCTGCAGGAAATTCTCTTTGCCACACACTTATCCCCATCATTATATGACACCTGTTTTTACCGCGAAATTTCAGGTCATGATGAGCACAGACGCTGTGGGATTTGCCGAGCCTTACTATTTGAGTAAGTTGCCATTATTTACGAGCATGTTTTCATTGTTATGTATGATATTATGTTTTATGGTCAACGTTATTATCTTTCATTATTATCAGGTGCCATGTGGGGAAGGCGCATCCTCTTTCTTGCTCTTGCATCAATTGTGCAAGGAGGTGACCTTACTCTTTCAGAGGCGTTCCAAGCCGCATGTGGAATTTTGCACAACAATGCACTTCGACTGTACCGAATTGACATGCTGAGCGTTGTCCCTCCCGCCATATTGTAGTGTAACTCAGTGGTATGTATACAATAATAAGAAGGGTGGAGCATCAAGCTTTTAGGATGATACATTTGTGCAATCAATCTTTTTTTTTTTTCATTTTTTTTTTCATCTCCAGGCATTTTTGTTTTCTCTAAACGGATGCTCTTTTCAGTGGCCTGTGTTGTGCATGGAAGCTTCCGTTCCGTCCACTTTTCCCCGCTCGCATTTAAAGCCAATCCGTGGATGCCAGCTCGCCCTGCTTTCCTTTTTTTCTACCAATACCCCAACAGGGCATCAGATGGCCCTGGGGCAGCCGCCAGAAGCATCAGCACACGCCAGACCAAGTCGCACAGATGCCAGACATGTGACAAAATTGGCGCGCCGCGACGTTTTTTGGATCATTCATGTGGCCCATGGGCAGGAAGGTTTTACCACCAACGCAAATATCTCCACATGGTTGCCCACGTGGTCCAGCCCCCGAATGTTTTCGCACTGCAACTTTTTTTACGACCCAATGGCGATCCCCCCAACCACACCACACCACACCTTCGCTCAGCTCCCAAACCAATTCCCCGTCGTGGTTCACGATTCGTCCCAAACCGATAATGGTGGTGTGTGGTGTACAAGGGTCGTCCCAAAGCGCGTGTTTCGGAAAAAAATCCAAGGGGCTTCAACAAGGTGATCAGCGTTCAAAAGCGGTGAAATTAGTATATAGAGCGATGCTATTTAGTCACGATAATCCCTGAGTCACGATAATGTAATCCCTGAGTCATGGTACCTGTTGCTGCCTTTCCTCGATGTTAGATTTCTGCTTCTTCCTTCCTCCCCTTCGTCTCCCGTCCTGGGTTGGAAGCAACAATACTTGCTTGCTTGTTTGTGTTGGAGATTATCGCGCTAGACGTTCAGCACAAAGATCGATGGCGTGATTTTCACTTGTCGGCATAATTTCGCATTAAATCATGCGCATAATATGCGGGAGAGCTTGCGTATACTTAGCAACGGATAATCTACTAGAGCTGTTATGACCGCAATTCTCTAAAATGGTCGATTATTGCAAAAAAACAAGCTCGGATCTTTAGTCGCGAAAAGAAGCTTGTTGCGATGTTTCAATATTCAACGAAATAGCTGTTGATCGCGAAAGCTTGTTGTCCAGGCTTCCAAGTCAAACTTGACGCGAAATCGCTCGGATAGCCGTTTCTTTTGAGCTTTTGGAAGGGAAGCCGTCATGGGTCGAGGAAGGAATCGCGATGCGGATTTCAAATTGCCGGAAAGCAGCCGGTTCGACAATGAGGACGTCGAGCTGTCGGTCGGCAAGCAGGTGCGAGACCGTTGTCCAATTTCAATCTAGAAATGTCATTGAAAACTGACGGTCAGTCACCGTCAACATCGCCTTGACAGCATTCGTTTCGTTATTTCCGTGGGAAAACCGACTTGGAGGTCTGATAGACCTGGCCTCAACGTTTTTTTGTCATTCGTTCTCGTTAAGGGCGAACGGTCTTCGCTCTTTGTTCTCGTGGCTGGCGTGCCGTTGTCGTTCTCGTGACACATCCTCCATTGAAAGTGCAATCCCTCCCGCACGGTACCGCATTCTCGGATGAATTGACGAGGATCGGACGGAGACACTTTAGCCCTGCTTCCAAATCTCAGATCAGGCGATGGGCCACGGAGACGATTCTCGGGCAGCCCGTCTGGCGGTTGAACACTGATCACATGGCCTCCGCGTATCACTGGTTAATATGCTCAGTCGTGTAACTCCATTTCCCGAATCTCAGATCAAGCGATGGGCCACGGAGACAATCCTCGGGCAGCCCTTCTGGCGGTTCAACCGCGGCGGCGGCGACGACTCCGCGTCCACCTTCGCGGGGCGATGGCCCGGCGGCAGCGGCGGCGTGAGCTCCGGCGTGTCAGGCGTCAACACGGACGGCAGCTCCTCGTTCTGGCTCGGCGCCAACGGAGGCGACTCGGTGCGCGGCGGCTCGGTGCGGGGCCGCGCGATGCTGCAGCGGTCGACGACGGTCGGGATATGCATGCCGCGGAACATGGAGCTCGCGTCGCTGCGCGTGATCGACCCTGAAGACGCGTGAGTTGCTGCCGCTAGACTACTAGTGATGGGGTGTGGATGAGGGTGTGGTGTGGTGGTGAAGGGTGGGAGCAGGTGGTTGGATGGGATGGGGGGGGGAGTGGGCCGAGGGACAGAGGAGCACGGAGCTCGAGTCGCTGCGCGTGATCGACCCGGAGGACGCGTGAGTCGCGGCCTCTAGAGAACGGGTGATATGGTGTGATGAATCCATGTCTTGCCTTTTCGCTGGTGCCTCCTCCCTCCTCGCTTCGCCTCCATCATTCCCCCTCCCTTCTCATTTTCCTCTTGTAATTTGGCTGAATGGAATTTGGCTTATAATAATTTCTTGCCTTTTCTCCTGTGCTTCCTCCCTCCTCGCTCGCCGCTCCTCCTTCCTCCCTCCTCCCTCCTTCCTTCTCCCTTCTGCATCCCTCCCCCTCCTTCCTCGTCCATCCAGCTATCTGTTACTATAGGAGCAGGTGGCTCTAGTCCTGGGTGGCTACTCTGCTTTAGTCACACCCTTCGAGTTTTCTTTTCTTGCAACTACTTTCTTGCCTTTCGTCATGTGCCTCCTTCCCTCCTCTCTCGGCCGTCCAGCTATCTGTTATTATGGGAGCAGGTGACTCTAGTCCTGGGATTCTACTCCGCTTTAGTCACGCCCTTCGAGTTCTCTTATCTTGCAACTAATTTCTTGCCTTTCGTCATGTGCCTCCTCCCTTTTCCCTCCTGCGTCCTCCCATCCAGCTATCTGTTACTATGGGAGCAGGTGACTCTAGTCCTGGGATTCTACTCCGCTTTAGTCACGCCCTTTGAGTTCGCCTTCCTCGCGGACAGCATGCCCGTGTGGCTGACGTGGCTTGACGTGGCAGTCAACTTCTGCTTCCTGGCGGATCTCCTAGTCACGTTCTTTGTCGCATTCAAAGACAAGCACACCTACACACTCGTTACAAGCCACTGGAAGATCGCCGAGAGGTGAATGAAGGGTAAACAGTGAGGTGAAAGGGGAGAGGGGTGGGTCGAGAGAGGGAGAGGGTTCGGGGACTTGTCGCCTCCTAGTCACGTTCTTTGTGGCGTTCATAATTAAGCACACCTACGCCCTCGTCACAAGCCACTGGAAGATCGCTGAGAGGTGAATGGGGAGGGGAGACAGAGGGGTGGGCGAGAGACAGAGAATGAAATGAGAGGGGGTGGGGCAGGAGAGGAGAGAGAGGGCTTGGGACCAGTCGTCTCCTGGTGGCGTTCTTTGTCGCTTTCAAGGACAAGCACACGTACACCCTCGTTACAAGCCACTGGAAGATCGCTGAAAGGTGAATTGGGGTGGTAGACCGAGGGATTGGAGAGAGAGAATGAAGCGAGACGGGGTGGGGTAAGAGACGGGAGAGAGGGCATTGGGCCAATTGCCTCCTGGTGACCTTCTTTGTCGCTTGGACAAGCACACGTACACCCTCGTTACAAGCCATTGGAAGATCGCTGAAAGGTGAATGGGGGTGCGAGATACCTCTTCTCCTACTTCCTCACAGACCTGCTCGCGCTGGTCCCCTTTCCCTCCGCTCACCCCTCCGCCTAACTCACTCTTACCTCCCCGACCCCAATCGCCTTACTGCAGGTACTTATTATCCTACTTCCTCACGAACCTGCTCGCGCTCTTCCCCCTTCACTACTTTCACTGCGCTCCCTGCTCTCACCTTCCCCCCTATCTGTCTGGTTCGGCCCACCACACCCCATCGCCTTACTGCAGATACTTATTATCCTACTTCCTCACGGACCTGCTCGCGCTCTTCCCTTGGAACACCTTCTACCAGGTAGGTAGAACCAGGGTAGGTAAAACAAGGGTAGGTACAAGCAGGTTGGATTAACTAGGGTAGGTACAACCAGGGTGGGCACAACTTCAATCTGTTCGAATACTTCCCCCCCTCCCTCTCCATGCATCTATGTTCAGCTGGCAGGTGCCAGTGGGGCAGCCAACCTGCTGCAGTGGCTGCTGTGGTGTGGACTCGAGTGCTCCTTGGACGCTTCCCTCTATGCGCACAATTCTCCCCACCATCTCCTCTTCCCCTCTTCCCCTCCTCCGCCCTTCCCCTCTTCCTCACTCCCCCTTATTGTACTGTGAAACAGCTGGTAGGTGCCAGTGGGGCAGCCAACCTGCTGCAGTGGCTGCTGTGGACTCGAGTGCTCAGGATGCGACACCTCTTCAGATACTTCCACAGGTGCGGGATGAGCAAGGGGCGAACACGAACATGTTCGTGTTCGCCCCTAGACGAACACATCCGTTTGCCGAACCGAACACTGTCCGGTTCGGCGAACACTTTAAGCAAAAACTCGTGTTCGCCGTTCGCCTGTGAAGGCGTGTTCGGGCGAACGTCGAACACGTTCGTGTTCGTCACGGGGCAAATTGCAGCAGCGGCCCGAACACGAACGTGTTCGGGCGAACATCGAACACTGATCGGCGAACAATTTAAGCAAAAAAAACAAACCTGTTCGGTTCGCCTCGAACGTGTTCGAGGCGAACCGAACAGGTGTTCGCCCTTGTGCTCATGTCCCATGTCCTAGAATCACACCACCGGGGGTCACTGAAACCAGTCACGGATAACCTCCCATGTCAGTCTAGAGAGTTGCTACCACACCGCACGGCTGTAAGGCCTCGCCTTCTGCAGTGGCTGCTGTGCTGTGGACTCGAGTGCTCAGGATGCGACACCTCTTCAGATACTTCCACAGGTGCGCGGGTGGGGGGTGTCCTTAAGTCATACCACAAAGCTGCTGCCTTGCCTCCTGCAGTGGCTGCTGTGATTTCCAAGGTTCACATGTTAATCACAACTGCTCCTATGTTCAGCGTTTGACATTTGGTTTCCCAGGGTCAGGAGCTTCAAGCAGCGTTGACGTTTGTTTCCCCACTCACACCATCCTCACCAGGTTACAGAGGGACATCCGCCTGAGCTACTTCGCAGTCCGCTTCCTGAAGCTGATCATCGTGGAGATGTACATCACACACGTCGCCTCTGTTCACACACACTCTCCCCACCCACCACTCCCACCACTCCCACCACCACCAGGCTCCAAAGAGACATCCGCCTGAGCTACTTCGCAGTCCGCTTCCTGAAGCTGATCATCGTGGAGATGTACATCACGCACGTGGCCGGCTGCTTCTTCTACTTCCTCGCCACCACCATGCCGCCCGAGGAGCAGGGCTACACCTGGATCGGCTCCCTCACCCCCCAGGTCCTTGCAGGCCCAGAAACAAGCTGCCACTTCTGACCGGACCTCCCTTGCTCCCTGCCACACACGCACACACATCCACCACATTCCCACCACCAGGTTACAGCGCGACATCCGCCTGAGCTACTTCGCAGTCCGCTTCCTGAAGCTGATCATCGTGGAGATGTACATCACGCACGTCGCCGGCTGCTTCTTCTACTACCTCGCCACCACCATGCCGCCTGAGGAGCAGGGCTACACCTGGATCGGCTCCCTCACCCTCGGCGACTTCTCCTATGAGAACTTCCGAGAAGTGGATCTGTTCACGAGATATGTGACAGCGCTGTACTGGTCCGTGGTGACCATGGCGACGATTGGATATGGGGATATTCATCCGGTGAACCCCAGGGAGATGATCTTTGCCATGTTCTACATCACGGTCGACCTCATTCTTTCGGCCTATCTTATCGGTAAGTGACTGGGAGGTGGATCTATTAACGAGATATATGACGGCGCTGTACTGGTCCGTGGTGACAATGGCAACAACCGGTTATGGAGATATTCATACTGTCAATCCCAGGGAGATGATATTCGCCATGTTCTACATCACGGTCGACCTCATCCTCTCGGCTTATCTTATTGGTGAGTCTGTCACTCAAAAGTGAGTCGTGATACCTCGCTGGTGGTGGTTATGGAGACATACACCCCGTCAATCCCAGGGAGATGATATTCGCCATGTTCTACATCACGGTGGATCTGATCCTCTCAGCATATCTCATCGGTGAGTTTCGCTGTCAGTAATCAGCCAGAGGTACCTCTCCTCTTCTCTCCTCTCCTCTCCTCTCCTCTCCTCTCCTCTCCTCTCCTCGCGTTTATCTCATTTCTTCCCCCCCTGTGCGCATTAATTCAGGAAACATCACGGCACTGGTGGTGAAGGGCAGCAACACCACCAAGTACCGGGAGAGAATGGCGCGGGTAATCAAGTACCCTTTCTCTCTTGTACCTTCACTTCTCCCATCTCCCTCCTCCCGTCTGTGCAATCCTCTTTCTAGGAAACATCACTGCGCTGGTGGTGAAGGGCAGCAACACCACCAAGTACCGGGAGCGCATGGCGCAGGTCATCAAGTACATGAACCGCAACCGCATTCCCCGAGTGCTGCGCCACCAGATGCGCCAGGTGAGTGCAGCAGAGGGGGCAGGTGAAGTGCCTTTTGAGTCGACTCAAAAGTCAACCGCATTCCCCGGGTGCTGCGCCACCAGATGCGCCAGGTGAGAACAACAGACAGGGCAACTGAATGAACGGTTGGGAGGGATTCCGGATTTTCACGCCTCTCTTGCATCACAGCACGTACGCCTGCAGTTCAAAACCGACCAGGTGGAGGGCAACATTCTCAACGACTCCCTTTGTCATTTCCTCCCTTTCTCCCCGTTTTGTCCAATCCTTACACACCCTGCCATCGCATCACAGCACGTGTGCCTGCAGTTTGAAACGGACCAGGTGGAGGGCAACATTCTCAACGACCCTTATTCTTCGCCCTTCTCCTAACTTCCCTCCTCCCACTCGCCCTTCCCTCCCTTTCCTTCTGCAGCACGTGCGCCTGCAGTTTGAAACCGACCAGGTGGAGGACAACATTCTGAACGACTTCCCTGTCCCTGTGCTCTCCCCCCCCCTGCACTTGCTGCTCCGTCTCTCCCTTTCCGCCCATCACAGCATGTGCGCCTGCAGTTTGAAACCGACCAGGTGGAGGACAACATATTGAACGACTTCCCTGTGAGCATACGGCACAAGGTGGCGCGGGCTTTATACCGGCGGCTCGTGGAGCAGAGCTACATCTTCCAGGGCTGCTCGCCTGAATTTATTAACCAGATCGTGAGTGGCCTCATTCCTCCCCACTCCTCTCCACTCCTCTCCTCCACTCCGCTCCGTTCCTCTCCACTCCGCTCCACTCGACATTCTCGACGACTTCCCTGTGGGCATACGTCACAAGGTGGCACGGGCTTTATACCAGCGGCTCGTGGAGAAGAGCTACATCTTCCAGGGCTGCTCGCCCGAGTTCATCAACCAGATTGTGAGTGGTGGGGGGGGGGGGGGAAGGTTGTAGTATGGTAGGGGAAGGTGCTTGTGAGTTGTGGGGATGGCATGATGCCAGAGCTGTACTGTACTGGTGGCGGCTGGTGGAAGAGAGCTACATCTTCCAGGGCTGCTCGCCCGAGTTTATTAACCAGATTGTGAGTGGTTGGGTGGGGGTGTTGTGCGGTGAGGAAGGTGCTTGAGGTGGGTGGTGCTTGTTGTGAGTGGTGCTTGTTGTGAGTGGTGCTTGTTGTGAGTGGTGCTTGTTGTGAGTGGTGGCAATGGCATCTCAAGTCAGCTTCTCCGTCTGCCCCGACTTCGCACTTGCATCCATCCCACCCCATCCCACCCCACCCCACTCCACCCCACCCCACCAACCAGGTGACCAAGGTAACACAGAGCACTACTTCCCCTCAAAAAGAATTCAACACAGAGACTCCCCCGAGCGCCTCTACATCATCTGCTCTTACCCCAACCAAAGCAGACCCCATTCTCCCATCCCTTCCACCGCACCCCACCGCACCCAACCCCACCCCACTCCACCCCACCCCACCAACCAGGTGACCAAGGTAACACAGAGCACTACTTCCCCTCGGAGGTGGTGATTCAACACAGAGACTCCCCCGAGCGCCTCTACATCATCTGCTCTTACCCTCCACTCAAACACAGCCCTTTCTCCCATCCCTTCCACCGCACCCCACCCCACCCCACCCCACCCACCAGGTGACCAAGGTAACCCCAGAGCACTACTTCCCTTCAGAAGTCGTCATTCAGCACAGAGACTCCCCCGAGCGCCTCTACATCATCTGCTCGGGCAATGTGGAGGAGACCTCCCCTTCCTCTTCTGCTGACGGCGGCCGGCACTTCTCAGAGCTCGCCACCGGCTCGGTATGTGGGTCTGCTGTTTCATGACTTCTTGCTGTGGGGTGGGGGGTGGAGGGTGGGGGGTGGAGGGTGGAGGGTATGGGATGGAGGTTGTGAGATGTGGAGAAGACCTCTCCTTCCACCTGAGGACGATGGCCGGCACTTTTTGGAGCTCGTCACCGGCTTGGCTTGGTGGGTTTGCCTTGTCAGTGGTGTGGGACGTGGTGGGGTGGAGTGTCTTATGCATGGGTTGGCTAGGTTGGGGCAAGTGTCCTCCCCAACTCGGGTTAGGCGCAGTGAGTTGGCCCTGTGTTTTTGCTTTGAGATTGTAGCATGCAACATCACAGGTAGAGAGGTTATTTTTGAGACGTCTCAGAAAATAACCTCTCTACACGTGGTAAGGCGCAGTGAGTTGGCCCTGTGTTTTTGCTTTGGGATTGTGACATGCAACATCACAGCCGTTTCGTTGCTAAGCCTATCTATCCCTTTCTCTCGCCGTCCCCTGGTTACCACCTGCCTACCCACCCGCCCCCTTCTCCTCCCTCAGATGTTTGGAGAGGTTGCAGTGCTATGCAACATTCCACAGCCCTTTGACGTCTCAGTCATCGATTTCTGCCAGGTGTGCTGTTCCGGCCTGCCTTGATCCTGCAATGGTTGCAATGGCTGCTCGATTCTTCATCTTCTATGCAAAAGCGAACAATGGTTCACTGTTGCGTTCTATTGAGCCCATGCTGCTTGCGATGCTGCTTGCAATGCTCCTTGCGATGCTGCTTGTGATGCTGCTTGTGATGCTGCTTGCGATGCTGCTTGCGATGCTGCTTGGCATGTCAATAGAGTGTGTTTTCACAACATTCCGACTAAGCCACTCCCACCCTTGTGCTCACCCAGGTGCTGCGGCTGGAGAGGGATGATTTGAACACAGCAATCAACACCTTCATGGTGGATGGGAGGAAGGTAGTCGACAACTTGTTGGAGGTGAGTGAGTGAGTGAGTGAGTAAATCGAGTTGCTGCCACCCAGTTTTTCTCCCTTCTTTTCATAAGGGTTGAGAGGCGGGAGAGGGAGGGAGGAAGAGTTTCTGTGCTAATTGGTGTTTGTGAATGCCTCCCCCTCTTCCTACTCCCCCCCGACCCCCAACCCGCCTACTCACTCCCCCAATCCCACAGCGCACAACGGAGACAGGCAGAAAGTACGCATTGCTAGCATCAGATATCATGTCGTTGATCGCACAGCAGGAGGCAGATCTCTCCTCTCCCGCATTCCTTTCCCGCACCCTACACCCCCCTGCCTTCCATCCCACAGCGCACAACGGAGGCAGGCAGCAAGTACGCATTGCTGGCATCGAAAGCTACCCCCTCGCCCTTCCTCTTCCTGTCTCCCTATCCCCCTTTTCCCCACCCCACTCCGCAGCGCACAACGGAGACAGGCAGCAAGTACGCATTGCTGGCATCGGAAATCACGTCCCTGATCGCCCAGCAGGAGGCGGAGCTGACGATGACGACCATCTATGCGGCCTCGCGGGGGGACATCGAGCATCTCAAGAGGCTGATCAAGGCGGGAGCGAATGCAGGGAAGGCGGATTATGACGGGCGCACGCCATTGGTGGGTTTCAGGGTAGTGGGAAGAGGGAGGGGAGGGGGGTGGGGAGGGGAGAGTGGGGGTGGAAGTTGTTTGATTCCTTTTACAGGAGGGCGTGGACGTGATCAGCCAGGACAGCTTTGGCCCCACAGGCTGTGATATTCCCCTCATATAAGTTTGACATTCCCCTCCCCTCATCCACCCCCACCTCTCCCCTCCCCTCTCTTCCTCCCATCCTCCCCCCAGCACCTGGCAGCAGCAGGCAGGTACGATGAGGTGGTGCGCTTCCTGCTGCTAGAAGGAGCGGACGTGAACAGCATTGCTAGAAGGAGCGGACGTGAACAGCATTGCTAGAAGGAGCGGACGTGAACAGCATTGCTAGAAGGAGCGGACGTGAACAGCATTGATTGTTTTTGAGACGTCTCAAAAACAACCTCGCTTCAACCGGACGTGAACAGTCCTGATAGAGGCTGCTGATCCATTGACAACTTGGGTACCACACCGCTGCTGGAGGCACTGCGGGCGGATGTGAACAGTCCTGATAGAAGCTGAACATCCCTCTATCTCTCCCCCATCGCCCCCATGATTCCCCCGCGCTTCACTTCGACATTGCGTCAGCACCTGGCAGCAGCAGGGGGGGTGATTTTTGAGTCGACTCAAAAGTCACCTGGCAGCAGCAGGGGGGGGGGTACAACGAAGTTGTTCGCTTCCTGCTCCTGGAGGGTGCGGAGGTGAACAGTCTCGACAACTTCGGCACCACGCCACTGCTGGAGGTACCTCATCTCCCCATCTCCCCCACCCTTCCCATCCTCTCCCCCATCTCCAGCACCTGGCAGCTGCAGGGGGCTACGATGAGGTGGTTCGCTTCCTGCTACTAGAGGGAGCGGATGTGAACAGCCTTTGTCAACTTTGGTACCACAGCCTGTGTTGCGATCCCAGGTTGACATCTCCCCAATCCACCCTACCTCTCCCTTCCCATCCCTCCCATCCTCCCCCCAGCACCTGGCAGCAGCAGGGGGCTATGATGAGGTGGTTCGCTTCCTGCTCCTGGAGGGTGCGGATGTGAACAGCATGGACAACTTTGGCACCACGCCGCTGCTGGAGGCACTGCGGGCTGGGAATGACTCGACTGCTAAGATCCTGACGGAGAAGCATGGCACTGTGAACCTGCAGGTGCGTGCGTGTGTGCTGCACTGGCCCATGCACAGGCCCATGGTATGGGGTTGGCGTGGTGGGGTGTCCTTACACGCTGCTGGAGGCACTGCGGGCGGGGAATGACTCGACTGCTAAGATCCTGACGGAGAAGCATGGCACTGTGAACCTGCAGGTGCGTGCGTGTGTGCTGCACTGACCCATGCACAGGCCCATGGTATGGGGTTGGCGTGGTGGGGTGTCCTTACACGCTGCTGGAGGCACTGCGGGCGGGGAATGACTCGACTGCTAAGATCCTGTCGGAGAAGCATGGCACTGTGAACCTGCAGGTGCGTGCGTGTGTGCTGCACTGACCCATGCACAGGCCCATGGTATGGGGTTGGCGTGGTGGGGTGTCCTTACACGCTGCTGGAGGCACTGCGGGCGGGGAATGACTCGACTGCTAAGATCCTCACAGACAAGTACGGCACTGTGAACCTGCAGGTGCGTGCGTGTTTGCTGCACTGGCCCATGCGCAGGCCCATGGTATGGGGTTGGCGTGGTGGGGTGTCCTTACACGCTGTTGGAGGCACTGCAGGCAGGAAATGACTCCACTGCTAAGATTCTGATGGACACACACGGTGCTGTCAACCTTTTGAGTCGACTCAAAAGTCAACTCCACTGCTAAGGTTCTGACGGACAAGCACGGTGCTGTCAACCTGCAGGTGCGTGCGTGTGTGTTTAGGGTGTGAAGGTATTGCATGGTATGGCTGGGCATGGCAAGGGCTGCGATGTCTGATTTTACTGCAGGAAGCCCTTTCCCTCCCCATCCCTTTCGCTTCCAAATTCCCCCCCACTTTCATGCCCCTCCATATCCCGTCCCCTTCCCTCCCATCCACTTCACCCCACACTGTCCACTTAACTCCCAGAAAGCAGGCACGGATCGGTGCAAAGCGGTGATGAGGGGTGACATGGGACTGCTGAGGAGACTGCTGATCAACCCCAATGCAGCCGACTACGACCTCCGCACACCCCTCCACACTCCCCTCCCCTCGCTCCGAAGTCTGCCCCATTCCCGTGCCCCTCGTCTCCCCTTCCCCTTCCCATACCCCTTTCCCCACCCTACTCCCACCCACATAATCTCTTTTCCATTAGGAAGCAGGAACAGACCTATGTAACGCTGTCATGCGAGGCGACACGGGGTTGTTGAGGAGGCTGCTGGTCAACGGAGTCAACCCCAATGCTGCCGACTACGACCTCCGCACGCCCCTCCACATCGCATCCGCTGAGGGATTCGTCCAGGTGGCGCGTCTACTGGTGGAGCACGGTGCTGACGTGGCAGCACTGGATAGGTGGGGCAATTCGTCGCTGGATGAGGCGCGCCGATGTGGCAGCCTGCCATTGATCCACCTGTTGGAGGAGGCCATGCGGGAACGGGGGCTACTGATTGGTGGGGAATCCGTTGAGGATGGTTCTGAGAGGGAAGGCGGAGAGGAAGGAGCAGGGACAGAGGCGGGAACAGGGGCAGGGAAACCACCAGCAGCAGCTGCTGCGTCTGCTGCTGCAGCAACGGCTGCTACAGCCGTGGCTGCTGCATCACTCAATGCCACTGCTGCTGCCGGAGTATCCTCTATGCCAGCAGCACCCACTGCAACACCAAGCTCTGCTGCCATACCCTCTGCTGCTACTCCTGCCACTAATGCTTCTGGTGCCACCACTGCAGCTTCCTCTGCTGCTCCTTCCACTGCCGCTTTCACTGGTGTGTCTGCTTCAGGCACTGCCAATGCAGGCACCCCATCCCCCACCCCCCTCCCCCATTCACATTCCGCGACAGCACAGGCCACCGCCCCCCTTCCTCCCCCTTTCCCCAACTCCCACTCCCTCACACGCTCCCACCCGTCCCCCCTCCTCGCCCCTGCCGATGCGGACTGGGACCGAATCACCGAGGATGGCTCGGCAACTCCCCGGATTGGCATGTCAGGCTCGGCAACGCCCCTCCTGAGTGGGCCCGGCACGCCCCAGTGGAGAGGATCGGGAACGTCGCCTGGGAGGGCGCAGTGGAGACCTCCTGGGGGTGGTGGGGTGAGGAGGACAGGTGGCAGGGCTGGAGGGATGGGGTATGGCGGCGGCGCTGGCGCCGCTGGTTCAGCTGGTGCGGCCGGCATGGGAAGATTGGTTCCTTTGGGACCCAAGGTGAGACTGTGAAAGTGGATGTTGATTTATATTGTTTTTCTCCCTATAATGGTGATGCTATTTCTGATTGTCATGGTTTTGTATCACCTGAGTGTTCGTTCCCTTGCTTGCGGTGATCATTTATGAAGAGCTCTGAGTCTCTCTCGTCCTTTGGTTACATCCATACATGTGGTATGTCTGAAATACAGGCAGCACCGCCCTATGCATACAACAGTTTTTTATTAGATAACCGCCATTTCCTTTTTTAAGTTCTTATCTCCAATCCCATTCGCTTCCATCCTTACCTCCCATTCTACTTCTCAGAGAATCACGGTGTTCCCCTTTCCCCCATGGGAACTGAAGCCTCAAAGAGTTGGGCAGCTCATGCCACTTCCTCCGTCCATCCCTGACCTCCTCTCAACGGCTTCCAGCATTTTTGGCGCGTCTTTTGTGGGTTTGGTTGGGAGTGATTCAGGGGTCGTAACGGCCGCAGATTTAATCAGAGATGGAGATAAGTTATTTTTACTGAAGGAAAATGAGATGCGTGGAGACACTTAGTCAGGTGGGCAGTGGATGCCCTACATAGATAAATGTATTATTATAGACGCTATATCATATATGCGGCAATGTATTTGTATTCTGTAACGAAATGAGCTGTAAAATGACTGGATGTTCGCTAAGGAATATGTATGAGTGGTTACTAGTTGGTGTAGAAGGTGGTCCCATACCTGTAAGGATTTACAAATCCTTACTGAGGCACTCGTTAGCGAGGCCATCCCGAGGGTCACGCGACGAACCTGACCTTCCTATTTCGTCGCACCGAACCACTCCCGAGTCGGCCTCCGCTCCAAACGCAACCATCACCGAGCCATCCCATCCCGAACCCCCCGCCTAGCTAGGTTTTCCCCTATTTAGGCCTCGCTACTTCATTGTTTCGAAATTCAGTAATTCGGTAATTCTGTATTCAATTATTCTCGATATTCGTTTTACTGCGTACTCTGCAAGTTGATTCATAACACCTGGTATCAGAACTACTTTCCTAGCTCTCCCCGCTTTTTAGAGTGCAATACCACTCGGGGGGGGGACGAGGAAGGATGTCTTGGGGTCCAGGAGTTGCGTAGGCCGGCCAGGAGAACGCGTTAGTTGCTCCTCGCGGCCATAGTTTTACGGGTACTCCTTCGGCACCGCCAGATCCTTGCCTCGAACGGTCGCGATCGACCGTGGCCTCCCTCCCCCCGGGCAACGGACAGCTGTAGCTGTCGCGACATTAAAAGTGAGTTACTATTCCGCTGCGGTTTTAACGACGGTTTCGGAATTTTGTGAGGCAGTTGGCGTCAGCGGACCTGCGTCGGCACCTGCACGAAATTTTCGGAAGTCGTCACGATGAGTGGCCGTTGATGACGTTGGACCTGAGTCAACAGTTGCGCGACAACTTCGGAGTCGTCCCATGCGGCAAGTGACAACGGTGGCTCGTCGTCATTTTGCGCGCGTGACTCACGGAGTGTGGCTCGGCAGCTGGCGACAACGGACGTGCGTCACTGTGGCGATATTTTCGGAGCTACTGTGAAGAAATGTCGGCTGGGGAACTCGCCAGGCGCAAAAGGAGTTTGCGTCCGAAAATGTTGGTGGCGAGGAGAGACGACACAAGACTGCCCGACTTAGCGGGAGTCAACAGCCGTCCCGCCCGACCTGTTAAGTGCGGCGGCTTTTACTGCATTGGCGGGCGCGTCATCAGCAATTTCGGCAGGAGTGCTCGTGGACAGACGGGACTTCATACCGCTGACACTTACGGGCTGCAACGGAAAACGCGGTGGCTGAATCGCACTTACGGGAAGTGGGACGCAGGCGACGAGGGAAATCGGGGCAGGTACACCTCGAATCAACTCGGCGACACTGCGTGCCTGGTGTTGTTGCAAGCTGGCCGGCAGTATCGAGAGCGGTTTCTCCTGACCAGGGAATTCGTTTTCGGGGACAGCTGCTGACAGCCCACGATTAAACGGTGTCCAAGGTACCGCCCGACAATTTCGGAGGGGTCGGTACAGGCTGCCGGGACACACAGGCAGAAACGGTCCAACGGCTAAGCGAGGGTTGAAGAACGTCGTGGGGAGCAGATTAAAAGCCGAAGGAATCGATCTGCGGCCCTACTTCGCCCGAACCTCACCATCCCCACCAAGTCTTAGTTCTGACTCATGCAGTCAACTTACTTGGCCAAATAACGGGGGTGAACACGTGCCTACCTTGTGCAGGTTAAAGGCACCTGGATTGGTGCTCGTTCGACAGCTGTACAGAAAATACAAAAAAAAGTGGAGTTCGCGGCACTGTTCTACTCCGACAAAAGCGGGCTGGGTGAACGGCACGCGAAAAAGTCGGGGAGCTGCGATGATAACATCGGTGCAGTTTACAGGTTTCTCCTGACCCGGACGTCTACACACGAGGTGACGGCGCAGCGGCGAAGCTGAGACCGGGAAGCTGTGAAATTTTAGTGGCGTGATAGGCACGGCGGGCTGCAAAACGGTTGGACGATAGTTTCCTTTTAACTAAGGTCCCCCGTCTCCGATAGTTTTTGCCTCTCCACCGGGGCCGTGTTCGCGCGGGCAACAACGACGATACCTCATCCGACAAAAGCGGACGCTGGGTGAACGGCGGGAAGCGGAATTGTCGGGGGGTGAATACGAAAAAAATGACGACGGAGGGAAAGTTGTGGGTGATCCAGCAGATCACTTGAGTGAGAGGTTGAGCCCGTGCACCAATCCACCGCGAATTTCGGAGTCTATTCAGTAGACCCCCGAAAGGGTTTGATATTGTTACATGGAGGCGCGGCGAGCGGTACATTGCCAATGATACCTGGGATTCGCTAAGTTGTTCCGACGGGTATGAAGATGGGTGAACATCGGAGTACCAGGGAAAAAACGGCGGAAACGTCGGGGCTATACGGCGGAGAATAACTTCGGGACTGCAGCCTCAACCACGATTTTCGGGGTTATATTTTTACCAAAAACAAAAAAGAGTTGAAGCTGAGGGTGTTTCTTCGCTTCTTGGAGTGCGGTTGAGCCGCTGGGGGACTTCGCCTGAAGAGTCGCTTCTAAGTCGCCTGGCAAGAAACACAGCGGCGGGGATACCTAGAACCCACTGGTGTTTAAACGTACACCGCGGGAAATTCTTCAGTAAAAGAGAGCGTCGGAGCAGCCGAAGTTCTCGGATTTACCTATCGGCGACGAGCGATGGGTGAAACACCTGCAAAGCGCCAGTGGGAGTTTTGTGTGGTTTTCAGTTAAACTTCATCGGCGGGAGCAGTTTCGACGACGGGGTCAACGGCGTTGATGCCTCTAGGTTCCGTGAAATTCGGTCTCGGAAGACCCAGGGCAGTCCCCGGTTCTCGATTGAACCCACACGCTGGGGTCGGGTAACCGAAGGAAACTGATGGTGACCGGGTGGGCGGCTATAGAACAACCGAGATTTTCGGAGGAGAACTGCACCTGCATCTGCGGATTTTCGGGGCTGTGTTCAAACGACATTTTCGAAGTTTACGCGGGACTTTACAGGTTTTATGGCGAGAAGCGGCGACAATTTCGGAGGAGAATTCGGCGTTTGGTTAAACGCGCGCGACATATACGCAGGGCAACACCGCGGGAGCTACACGGAGTTTTCAAGGGGTACGAACGACTTACGAAGAACTGAAGAAGGCGGCAACAACAGTGACGGGGGGGGGGGGCGACAGCTGTAAAGTTTCATCCCTGCCCTTAAACTCTCGGCGCATTACGACAAATTTCTCGGAGAAACCATTCCAGCTCTGCTACCGACAACTCGCCTTCGACCCGCCCACGACAACTGCATTAATTCTCAACCACGTCAGGTGCTGCCAGCTGCAGCTGCGGAAAGTACCACCGAAGTTCTCGGTGGAATCACGACAAATTTCGACAGTTCGAGCAACGACGATTTTTTCATCACGGTTTCTGGTCTACTTACCCGGGTTCGCCCTTGAAGACTTTTTGGGCACGTCACACCTGATTTCGTCATCGATTTTCCACACCGACACGTTTTCACCTTGTCCCCTACGCTTAACGCTCGTTTTCAGTGGGACTTAACACCTGGTTCTGTTGGGTTTTACATCGGCGCAGTTTTGAAGATTCTGTGGACAGCTTTCTTGGAAGGGGGGAGAAAGTGCGCTGCACTGTTCTTTCCTTGGCGTTTTTCTTGGTCCTTTCTGAGTTTGTCAGGTTGCGTCAGCACGACGGACGATCGCGATCACACCGATACGATCAACGGTCCCTGCTCAATCGCGTTTGAATTCGCGTCAGCAGGTTCCCTCTCTTTTCGCGTCAGTCTTCGACCGTCAGATCTACACCTGCTCGATCTACGGCCCACATTCCAACTTCTACTTCATTTTGGGCAGTTCATCTTCGACCGTCAGATCGAAATTGGACTTCATCAACGGCTTACATTCCAACCTTTTCACTTGTCAAAGGCATTTCGGCCGTCGGATTCAGCTAAAGAGGAGATCTACGGAATCCTTGCTAGTGTGGGGCCTGTTTCAGTACAAGGCTGCCTTTTTTAGAAGGTGGGAGAGTGTAAGGATTTACAAATCCATACTGAGGCACTCGTTAGCGAGGCCATCCCGAGGGTCACGCGACGAACCTGACCTTCCTATTTCGTCGCACCGAACCACTCCCGAGTCGGCCTCCGCTCCAATCGCAACCATCACCGAGCCATCCCATCCCGAACCCCCCGCCTAGCTAGGTTTCCCCTATTTTGGCCTCGCTACTTCATTGTTTCGAAATTCAGTAATTCAGTAATTCAGTACTCAATCATTCTCGATATTCGTTTTACTGCGTACTCTGCAAGTTGATTCATAACAATACCACTCAAGCCTCAAGCAAAAAAGCTGGAGTCCCCTCGGGCTTCCACTTCAGCCACGTCAACAGCGGCGACATTCTCAAGGAGCTTCCCTCCATAGATGAGTTTGAGTGCTCCTAAGCGCGGTACAGATTGAGAGCAGTCGGTCGGACTCGGTGTAACAGAAATTCAGGCGGGGTCCACAACAAGCATCAGGGAGCGGGAAAAACAGGCACCCACCCATCAGGAGTGGTTTAGCAGGATAGTTCTTCCTAGTTTAGGCACATCGTGCTAATAGCATTTCGTGCTAGTTAGTTCTGCGGGTGATTGTTGTTGATCGTTCAGTTTATATTTTCATCACAGTTCCTCCTGGATTAGTCCCTCTTTGACGGATCTAGGCGTAGAGCGATTCTCCTTCGCGCCCTTATTCCAACAGCTGCTATTCCTCCAGGAAAGTATTGCATTCCCGAAGCGTCTACCCTTGACAAAAGTTAGTTTCGAAGAATGGACTTAGCGACACCGTTTCTCGGCGACGTTCGCCTGGTTAATCTTTCACGCTCTTCGCCGTCGTCTCGCCCTTCCACAAGTCCAAGTCAGCTCATTTTGCGCTCTCCTCTCCCATCATTACCACCGTGTCGCGTCAGTCCCTCGCCTAAGTGTAACTTAGCTAAACGTCCAGCGCGGCCGGTCCCTCCACGACCGAAGCCCCAGCGACCAACAGATTCCGCTCGTTTAAACGAATCTCAGGTTTCCCCCACGCTCGATAGTAGCACATCAGCTGCCGGAACCCTTTCACGGGAAGGAGATGGCTCCTCCCAACCGCAAGCTGACTTTTCGCTTCCAGCAGGGGGAAGCAAGCTCCCGTTTTCCCCCCGCATTCCGCCGCCGCTCCCGCGGAGACCCGCCGCGACGCACCGCCTCCGCCGGCTACGGAAGCGAACGCCCAACGGCACGTTCTACCTGTCGGACGAGCTCGCGGATATCACGGAGGTCTGGTCGTCGTCGATCCTCCTCCGTCCGCTGGCCGAATCCAACGGTGGAGACGCACTGTTTGGAAATTCCCCTTCATCTCCTCCTCCTTCTCCTTCCTCAGCACCCGGCAATATCGAGGCGACTGCCACACTAGGCGAGGACTCAGGAGAAGACTCAGTGGTATCGGAAAGCGACTCGGGCGTAGCGACGTCGAGTGTGGTGTCTGAACTCGTGGCTCGAGTGGCGCGCGAGCCGATAGAGACTATAGAAAGTCTAGACCTGTCGCGTGTGCTTGAAGCGGAAGTGGGACCGAATGGGGTTTTAACGGAAGGGGTGGCGTCGGCGGTGCTGGTAGAGCTGAGCCGCGCGGGCAAGAGTCGACACGCTCTGAAACTCTTCGACTGGCTCAAGGTAGGACTATTTTTTTGTCCTCGGGTTTGGGGTTCTTGTCGAGGGTTCTGGTTAAGGTTTCAGGGTTAAATCAATTTACAACTCCCTTTTTCTCTTTCTCGCTGTACAGCTCCACCTTCTTGAACCCCTCCACACCCTGCCAAACCCCCTTCTCCCGATCCTCCCCTCATCCAGGCACGGGCATTCCTCCTGTCCACGTCAGCACACACCGCACTGATCGCCGCATTGGCGCGCAGCGGGCCGTACGCTGACGCGGCGCGTGTTCTAGCGGGCATGCGCGCCGCGGGGCTGTCTCCCACCGTCCACACGTGCACCGCCGCCATGCAGGCCCAATCACGCGCCGGCAGGTGGCGGGCGGCGCTGCTGCTATTGGAGGAGATGCGAGGCATGGGGCTGAAACCCGATACGATGGCTTATAACGCGGTGCTCACTGCGTGTGGACGGTGAGTGTGCAGAGTGTGATGTGAACGTATGGAGGAGATTCGAGGCATGGAGTGAAACCGGCTACCATGGCCGCGCTCACTGCGTGTGGAGTGTGAGTGTGTGGGAGGTGTGTGCGTTCAATCTCCCCTTGTTCAAATTCCCTCTCTTTTCAAGCTCACAACCTTCTTTCTCCTCCCCTCGTTGTCCATTTCCCATCTCTCCACACGCCCCCACACCATCCCTCGCTCGTTGTGCACCAGAGCTGGTCGCTTGCAGGAGGTATTAGCTGTATACCAGGCCATGCAGGACGACGAATGCCGCCCGTCTACTGGCACACGCGCACTGCTCATGAGCACGTTCGTCCGCGCCAACCGCTGCGACCTGGCGCTGCAGCTCTTCTTTGACGCCAGGCTGGCAGGCCAGCCCGTGACTCCCGACATGCACAGAGGATTGATATGTGTTGCATCTAAGGTGAATCGACTCTGCCATGTGTGGCTGTGTGGCTTTGTTGGTGTGTGTCAGTCAATGGGATGGACTATGAGATCCCACTGCTGCAACCTGGCGCTGCAACTCTTCTTCGATGCCAGGCTGGCAGGCCAGCCTGTCACTCTCGACATGCACAGACGTCTCCAGTCTGTACACATCACCATCCCAAATTCAAGTTCTGGATCATCTCCAATCTGCATTTTTTTTTCAGAAAAATCAGAGGCACCCTGCACTGCACTCTCCTCCCCATACCCCCCACTCTCTCACTCTCCCTTTCCCACTATCAGGTGGGTCGCTGGCCGCTCGCTCTTGACCTCTTAGACGATCTCCTTGCCACGTGGACAGACCCGGGGGAGGAGGAACAGGCGGGCCTCTTTGTTTCCCGTTTTCTCCACCACGAACCGTCCCTCCCTCCCTCCCATTTCGTCGTCCACGTGATTCCACTATCAGGTGGGGCGCTGGCCCCTCGCTTCAGATCTCCTGGACGATCTCCTTGCCATGTGGACGGACGCGGGGTTAGCAGGCGAACCGGCAGGTATTATGAGTCGACTCAAAAGTCACCTCACTTTCTCCTGCTTCTCCCTCCCCACCTCAGGTGGGGCGTTGGCCCCTCGCCCTTGACCTCTTAGACGATCTCCTTGCCACGTGGACAGACGCAGGGGTGGCAGGTGAACGGGCAGCAGGAGCTGCTGCGGATGGTTCACGAGCAGCTGCATCGGCCGATTCGCGTATGGAGGGTATCCCTCCTGTTCCGAAAAAATATTTTGAGGATAGGCAGGACGAGGGGCCTCCTGCTGCTGCTGCTGCTTCTGGTGGTGGTGGTGATGCTGCTGCGCCTGGTGCTGGCTCTGGCGGGGGCGGACCCAGATCGTCCGATGCTGGGAGTGGGGAGCGGTGGGAGGGGGGGAGCACGTGGGGCGAGGTTTTGGGAGCGCCCAACTCTGCTCTGCCGTTCAACGCCCTCATCTCGTCCCTTGCTCGTGCAGGTATGCTGCCTCATCTCCCTCTCTCTCTCCCCCTCTCTCGCCCCTTATTTCTCACTCTCTCGCACTTACAGCTCCCTCATCTCCCAGCTCGTCCCCCCCATGTCCTCCCGATGTCCTCCCCTCCTCCTTTCCCCTCCTACCCTCCCCTCCTCCCTTCCCTCAGATCAATGGCAGGCTGCTCTTTCAGTCTGCTCCCGAATGGAAACCCTCGGAAATGCTCCGAATGTCTCTGAGTCTCTCGCTTCCCCCTTACCTCTCTCTCTCTCTCTCTCACTCCATCTCCTCCCCTCCTACCCTCCCCTCCTCCATTCCCTCAGGCCAATGGCAGATCGCGCTGTCAGTCTTTTCCCAAATGAAGAAGCTGGGCATTCCCCCGGACCACTTCACGTGGTCCGGGCTAGCTTCGGCGCTGGCTCGGGCGGGAGAATTCGACCGAGCCATGGCGTTCTTTGAGCACATGGGGGAGAGAGAAGGACTTCAACCAACGCTGGTGGTGTGTAACTGCGCGCTGCTGGCATGTCAGCACAAGGCCAAGTGGCAGAGAGCGCTGCAGCTGCTGTGGCGGATGGAGAGGATGGGCGTGCAGGCGGATGTGCGGAGCTACAGCATGGTCATCCGGACTTGTGAACTCGCAGGTATGTGCAAGCTTGAGTTGAGAGGCTGTGCAAGCAAGGCCGATTGACAGAGGGACGTGCCGTGCTGGTGCAATTGCACAGCCCCTTTCTTCATCCCAAAATGCACGTGTTCAATTCTCAAGTACCATACCTCAACCTCATCCTCCATCCCTCCCAACCTCCGCCCTCACCCTTCACTACGTATCCGCATATTTCTCCCCCTTCCACACGTTTCCTCCCCCTCCATGCCAGTAAGAAGCAGCCTTCACAGTAAATCAAAGAATGCTCATGGAAATGTGCAAGCGCTCATGGAAATGTGCAAGCCCATCACCTTCTCTCTTGCATCTCCCCACCCCATGCCCTCTTCTGGTGCTTCGTCCACCACCCCGGTTTTCCCTCACTCTTTCCCCCCCCAGGCCAATCCGAGGCAGCCCTGACGGTGTATCAGAGAATGCTCAAGGCGGGGTGCAAGCCCAACACCTTCACCCTGGCCTCACTCATTCCTTTTCTGCCCTTTCCTCCCCACTCCAGGCCAGTCCGAGGCAGCCCTGACGGTGTACCAGCGCATGCTCAAGGCGGGGTGCAAGCCCAACACCTTCACCCTGGCATCACTCACTCCTTTTCTGCCCTTTCCTCCCCACTCCAGGCCAGTCCGAGGCAGCCCTGACGGTGTACCAGCGCATGCTCAAGGCGGGGTGCAAGCCCAACACCTTCACCCTGGCATCACTCACTCCTTTTCTGCCCTTTCCTCCCCACTCCAGGCCAGTCCGAGGCAGCCCTGACGGTGTACCAGCGCATGCTCAAGGCGGGGTGCAAGCCCAACACCTTCATCCTGGCATCACTCACTCCTTTTCTGCCCTTTCCTCCCCACTCCAGGCCAGTCCGAGGCAGCCCTGACGGTGTACCAGCGCATGCTCAAGGCGGGGTGCAAGCCCAACACCTTCACTCTGGCATCACTCATCCGCATTCTCGGCAAGACCAAGGACTGGCAGGGGGCTGTGAAGATCTTTGAGGTGAGGGGGGTGAAGGTTGGGGTAAACATAGACCAGAATAAATTCCTTCATCCAGACACCATTGAAGATTCCTGGGTTGAAGCCACTGCTCCCTGCCAGTCCAAGCAAGGGAGAACAATTGCGTATGCCGCATGTTTCTTTGCCTCTTATTGAGGGTGCGCTTGCCTTTCTTCTTGCTTGCTTGCACTCTCCTTTTCCCATTCCAGTTTCCCGTAGTGCCCACATTTTTCTCCCCGGATTTTGTTCTGCCTGGTTCCTCCTACTGATGCAGGACGCGCGGTCTTCCAACATCCCCCTTAATGCGCACCTCTTTAACGCGTTACTAGACGCACTGCTGCACAACAGGCAGGTGGCTGCAGCGCGCTTATATCGAGTACAGATGAGACGGTATGGAGTGGTGGAGGATGCAAACACTCGAGCGATTCTGAAGCGAGCGGAAGAGAGGGAGGTGGGGTGGGATGCGGAGTGGGAGGAGGAGGTGAGGGAGAGGGAGAGGGAGAAGGAGAAGGAGAAGGCAAAGGAGAGGGAGAGGGACAGAGAGGAGAGGGAGAGAGAGGAGAGGGAGAGAGGAGAGAAGGAGCTTGAGAAGGTAGATGATGGGGAGAGTGAGGAGGGTGAATGGGGGGGTGCGAGTGGAAATTGGGAAGGTGGGGATGAGGGCTGGAGGAGGCTAGGAAAGCTGTAAGATGTACCACCTGAGCCAGGCATTCTAGCGCATTTGGTAAGTATGGAGGGTGTGCAGGGGTGACAGAGAAACGAGGGGCAGGTGGGTGGACGATGGTGTTTGAGATATTGAATGGTGTCTGCTTGTCCAGTCATACTCAACTCTCCGTAGGTGGTTAGGTTATGATCTTCAGTGGACCCGTTTTCTCCTTCCACTATCTCTTCGAAGAGTTATTATTCGATATGAAAGCGTGTTCCCCTACTGTAGTGATGACAAATGCCTTCAGAAGGTTCAGTTCCCGCGAGACCTGTCAGCTTGGGGAAATTATATATCCAGTCACAGACACTAGCTCGATATCACGACTGGTCATCCGGCAATCACGAACGGTCACAGAATCTAGGATCCTATCACGGATGATCACAAAATCAGGAATTCTATCACGGGTAGTCACAATGTTGCCCCACGATCTATCACGGACGGTCACACAATGAGACGCTCCGTGGGAAGTTGAAATTTCACGAGTAACTGTAGAGATTCGGGGAAAGTTATATTGTGCGCGAAAGAAAGTGTTACCTCCGAATAAGTTCGCGATCACTTTCGCAAACTCGTTCAAAGCATGAAACAATTGTCTCCCGCAGCAGACTTGCATAATTATATCCGTCCGCAAAAATAAAAATAAAAATAAAAACTTTTTTTTTAAACCTCGTACCTGTGGACTTTCGGTACCGGTATCAACCCTAAACACCTTGTCGTATGGTGTTGGGTTGATGCTCTCTCGGATGGCATGCCATCTGAGTGGGTTTTAGTTTTTTTTAGGCATGCAATTTTTTGTAACCTTCGCCTCCGCGACTCGCTACGGAATTAACCAGGCTAGCTACGCATATATGACAAGACCAGTCGCCAGTTAAAGCCAACAGCTAAAATAGCGACCCCCCCTTTCTAGTTGGGTCCACTTGAAAACACAAGTTTTTTTGGGACGTCTCGGAAAGTTGGAAGTGCTGTACGTTTTCATTTTTTCACTCCAGACAAGTCTCGATATGAACGGGGAACATTTTTTCAACCTGTTTACATTTCTGATTGGCGGCGAAACTCACACACAACTCACACACATACATGTGCGAATTTGGCGCAAGGTTGCAAGGCCTGTACTCACTCGAGCAGTCATCGTAACTTCACCAAAACTCACAACAATCAACAGCACAGGCACAACTCAGCGGACACACATATGCACGATCTGGGAGTGAATGTTGGCCGACGAATGGAAGAGCTGTAAAAAAATAGGGAGAGAGAGAGGGGAACAACGAGATGGGAGGGGAGACCGTGAAGAACTACGAAAGGGAGGGAGAGAGGAAGCGAACGACGGGATGGGAGGGGAAAGGAAGCGAACGACGGGATGGGAGGGGAAAGGAAGCGAACGACGGGATGGGAGGGGAAAAGAAGCGAACGACGGGATGGGAGGGGAGGACGTGAGCGATTGGAGATGAAGTGGACAGGATGGGAGGGGAGATTGCGCGAAGGCGATAGGAGAGAGAGCGCGAAGGCGATGGGAGGGAGAGAGAGCGAAGGCGACGGGAGAGAGAGCGCAAAGGCGACGGGAGAGAGAGCGCGGAGGCGACGGGAGAGAGAGCGCGGAGGCGACGGGAGAGAGAGCGCGTTAGGCGACGGGAGAGAGAGCGCGAAGGCAACAGGAGAGTGATAGGCGATGCGCGAGAGAGGAAGGCGACCGGGAAACGCAACGCGATGATTGCGCGAGGCTTGGAAACACAATGAGCTAATACAAGATGTATTACGCAGAAGCGCGAAGTTCATGACTACGCGCCTAGCCGGAAATTGTCGAGGTCCTAAGCTACTCAATGTTAGGCAGAAAGCTGGAATGATTAGTTCTCACTCTGCTAAGTGAATAAACTAGTGACTAGAGGAAGTGGGTGATGAACCCAGGACCAGCTTGAAATTGGAGTTGGGCCTGGCGACGGAAAAGCATCGCCAGGGAACGGTCGTGCGGATGCAGCACGCACGTATGCGACAGCTGATATGAACCTCGAAAATCGTTTTGGCGGGAGACAATTGTTTTCAGATTGGTGTGAGCCAATCAGATTACTTCAACCTGCCTAACCGTTTTGTTTGGAACAGTGTTGTATCAGCCGAACTCATCGCAGCGATTTCAAGGTGGGACGGCCTTCACTATTTTATATTTCGGTTTTAAATGTTCATAAATCTCAACAATTTAAGGCCGTTACAGCTTCTATACCGTGCGTTTCGTCTTGTGACGAAACGTGATAAGTTTTTGGGGCGGCGTGTGACTATCCGTGATAGAAATCCCGGATTTGTGACCATCCGTAATAGATAGCTAGATTCTGAGCCCATTCGCGATTGCAGTGTGACTTTTTGTGATGACGAGCCCCTGTTTGTGACCGCCTATGTATTAACCCGTCAGCTTGGAGCTTGACGTGCCAGGTCATCCTCAGCGAATAATCATCTTACGAATCAGCATGCAATCACGATATGATCCGGCTCCAATTGCGACAAGGGCAAGCAAACTTTGACCACAAAGCCCCGGCGAAATTCGTGGGACTTCCTACTGGTGTGGCGGATTTTTCGACTCACATGATTCCTCCAAACCTCTCTCCACCCACCACTAGCCTGGCCCAGCGTCGAAAGTGTTAAATAAACTAGCGTGACTTAGGCTTAGGATGAGAAGAATAGAACGAGAAATGAATGAACTATGAGTGAAGTGGGTACAAGTACTAACCCTAATTGGGTTGTACCCCCTATGGGATACCCCACTATAGCCTACACAAAAGCATAAGCTATAATGTTCTGACACACCCCCATAGGCAAAGTGGGGGAGAACAAGGGGTCACAAGACCAGTCAAGCAAAGCAAAGCAAGCTCAGGGTGGATCACAACGTCACCACACAGTCCGAGCACAAGGTCAAGGCCACAAGGCCAGTTCACATGCAAGAGTGCACATATATATATAATACTAAACAAGCAAGAGCATGTATAAATATATGTGCAAGAGTACAAGTAAGATCAAGAGGTGAGCAAGTGAGGTAAGACAGGTACAAGTCCCAGCTGAGTGCAGAAGCGCTGATGATCACAAGGCGGAAGTGCCTTGGTGAAAACATCAGCAGTGTTGGCCTCAGAGGCCACGTACGCAAGTCGCAACTGACCACGCTGCTGCAGCTCACGAGCAAGAAAGTAGCGGAGAGCAATGTGATTCGTTCTGTGCTCCAGGCGCTGCTCTTGACACAAGGCCAGCATGGCCTTGTTGTCTACGTACAGCACTGGAGGAGAACGAGGCGGCTCTCCAAGGTCAGTCACCAGGTAGGTGAGCCAGCAAAGCTCCTGAGCAGCCATGGCCCCGGCGTAGATCTCAGCCTCACAACTGGAGCCAAGAATAGAAGACGAGCGAGTAGCCCGCCACGAAACAGAGCCGGAACCAAGACTGAAGGTGTAACCCTGCGACGACCGCTGCGTAGCCTGGTCGTCAGCCCAAGAAGCGTCCGCGTGCCCAGTGAGGACCACTGGACTCCGCCCTCCAAGCACTAGCCCCATGCCCGACGTACTGCACAAGTAGCGCAACACCCTCTTCGCTGCAGCCATGTGCTCTGGTCGGTGTCTCCCAGGAGCAACATAGCGTGCCAAGATGCTAAGAGGGTATGCAAGGTCAGGTCGTGTGCAGGTCATCAGGTACATGAGGCAGCCAACAAGCTCTGGGTACGGGCCACTCGACTCTACGGACTCATCCGAAGGCAGAGCTGAGAGCGAGTGGCGAGTAGACAGAGGAGTGGCCTGAGGCCAGGAGTACATGAAGCCGAAGCGCTGAAGGACCTGCTGCACCATGTGTGACTGAGTCAAGGTAATGGTGCGGCGTGCTCTGTCCCAAGTGATCTGCAAGCCAAGGTAGCTGTGTAGTTCACCCAGGTCTGTGCACGTGTGTCTCTTCTGCAGCTCGGACTTCACGTAGGTGAGTCCAGCAGTGTCCGCTGTGGCAAAGACCAAGTCGTCGACGTACACGAGGATGTAGAACGGCGGCAGAGAAGTGTCGGTGCGAAGAAACAACAACGGGTCAGCAGTAGAGGGAGCAAACCCAAGAGCCGCAAGTGTAGTCCTCAGTGTGTCGTGCCACTCACGCGGTGCCTGGCGGAGACCGTAGACTGGCCGTCGGAGGCTCCACTGGGTGCCAGGAGGGAAAGTCCCAGTGAAGCCAGGTGGACGGCGCAGCCAGATCTCCTGTGCAGGCTACCCTGCAAGAAAGCAGTGCTGAAGTCAAGAGAGTGGAGCTCGTAGTCGCGCTGAGCATCTATGTGCAGCAGCACCCGAAGAGTGGTCATCTTCGGGGTGGGAGAGAAGGTCTGAAAGTAGTCAACTCCCTGCCGCTGACTGAAGCCACGAGCCACGTACCGCGCCTTGAAGACAGGTGGAGAGCCCGGCGGCCGCTTCACCCTGAAGATCCACATGCCACTGACGATGTTCGCCCCAGGAGGGGGAACCGCGTCAACGTAGGTGCCTGTGGACTTCAAGGAAGCCATCTCTGCATCCATAGCTGCCTGCACTGAGAGGAGTAGGGACCCTCTACGGCCTACGCGTAAGAGCGCGGAGTCGGGATGTCTAGTGCATCCGGGTCTCCCTCAGGGGCAAGCAGTAGAGACGCAAGATGAGGTGAAGCAGCATTCAGACACTGAAACTCCTCCTGCCTGTCCTCAAGGACGTCCGTGCCAAGGGCACACTCACCCCCGACGGACGGAGGACAGACAGACGCAGGCTCAGCAACAAGACTGGCATTGTAGTCTAGACGACAGCGAGCAGCAAAGTCGACGAGCTCAGCAACAAGAGCAGACGCAGTAGTGGACTCAAAGGAGGGGTCAGTGACAACAGTAGCAAGGAGACGTGTGACAGTAGGACTGGCAGCACGAAGAGAGTCCGACTCAGGGTCGGCAAGCGCAGGAAGAGAGGACTCAGGGAAGAGGGCAGAGGGGCACGCAGAGGAGCAGTGGAAGGATGCAGAGACATCCGGTGCGTGCCATGGACAGGAGGAGGACGCTGACGCGAACTGCGACCACTAGTGCGAGCAGCACGAACAGGCGACGCAGGATGAGACGCAGGCTCACGACGCTCAGCAAGACCTCTAGTAGGACCAGTGTAGGGAGAGGGAGAAGGCAGTGGGGAGGCCGGCGGTAACTGCGACTGCGACTGGACAGGCGGTGGACCCTCTAAGAGAGGAGGAAGACCAAGAACCTCCTGAAGGAGCAGAACGAAGTACGACCGAGGCCGCGCGGCGGCACCAGACACAGCAGGGACAGCACCAGCACCCTCAGCACCTGCGGCAGCACCAGCGCCAACAGCACCTCCAGCGGCAGGACCTCCAGCAGCGCCAGTAGCACCCGCAGCACGATGACCACCAGGACGTACAGTAGTAGTCTCAGAACCAACACCCTCAGCAGCTCCAGCTCCAGGCGGACCCGCAGGCCCAGCAGCTCCGGGACCGGCGGCACCAGCACCCTCAGCGGCCGAAGAAGCGCCAGCTCCAGCAGTACGCCTCCAGCGGCGAGCAAACCACTCACGCAGCTCCTGTGGAGAGAGTGGCTCCCGCCGAGACGAAACACCCGGAGAACCTCCAGGTCCAGTACCGCCAAGCTCCACACCTCCAGGCTCGGCAGCTCCAGACGCAGCACCCCCAGGCTCAGCACCCTCAGGCGCAGTACCCCCAAGCTCAGCACCCACGCGCGCAGCACCCTTAGAGTCAGCACCCCCATGCTCAGCACCCCCAGAGGCAGCACCCCCAAGCTCAGCACCTCCAGGCTCAGCACCCCCAGGCTCAGCACCCCCAGACTCTGCACCCCCAGAGTCAGCACCCCCAGGCTCAGCACCCCCAGGCTCAGCACCCTCAGCAGTACCTGAGTCACCAGCAACCTCGGTTGGCTTGACTACATCGACCAGGGACACATCTGAAGGGGAAGGACCCTGAGGGGGAAGGGGGTCTACTGGGGGGGGGCCTGGCACAAGGAAGTGCGGCGGCGGCGGGAGGGAAGGAGTGCGGTAGGGGAAGAGGCGGTAGAAGGGGACCGACTTGTTGAACGTGACGTCCTGGGAGGACAGAACACGACGAGAGGAGGGGTGGTAGAACTGCCACCCTGGGGCGTCAGGGGGGAAGCCCAGGAAGACACAGGGAGCAGCACGAGGGGACAGCTTGTCCGCAGACAAGTCGCGGACAAACGCCCGAGATCCCCAGACACGGAACGCAGACGCATCGCCGACCTTCCCCGTCCACAGTAGAGCTAGGGAGTTCTCCGGCCGGGAGACCCTGGGGTGAAGGTTGAGCTGATGTGCCGCGTACCGAACCGCAAACGGCCACAGAAAATGGGGGGCAGCCGCATGCATCATGGACGTACGAGCGACGTCCATGACCATGCCAATGCGGCGCTCAGCAATCCCATTTTGCTGTGGAGAGTCCGGAAGCGTAAAGGTCTGGCGAATCCCCCGTGCACGACAGTAGGCCCGCAGAAGGCCAGAGGGGAACTCCCCACCTCGGTCAGAGTGCAGACGCAGAACAGGAAAGTCCGAGCCGAAGCTCCTCCTGAGCTGGAGACGAGCTGCGCGAATCCAGTGGATCAACACCTCAGTGACATCACCCTTGCTGCGCAAGGGGAAGACTGTGGTGTAACGCGAGTAGTCGTCAACCACAAGCAGGAAGTAGCGCTCGTGACCCTGCCCACGGACGCGGGCCGGGCCCCACACGTCCATGTGAAGTGTCTGCAGAGGAGCCTCTGTCGGGGGAAACTGGGAGGAGTGAGGAGCAGCTCGGAG